CAGATCACTTGAGGTCAGGAGTTCAAGACCCCCCTGGCCAACATGGTGAAACCCTGTCTCTACTAAAAATATAAAAATTAGCCAGGCGTGGTGGTGCATGACTGTAATCCCAGCTACTCGGGAGGCTGAGGCAGGAGAATCTCTTGAACCCAGGAGGTAGAGGTTGCAGTGAGCCAAGATCGCACCACTGCACTCTAGCCTGGGAGAAAGAGTGAGACTCTATCTCCAAAAAAAAAAAAAAAAAAAAAAAAAAAAAAAAAAAAAAAAAAAAAAAGGGAGTCCAGGATAGGGATGGTGGGTACATTTGTGTTGTTCTTTAATATTCAGATACTGATTTAAGGTAACTCAAAGTCTTAATTCAGTATTTCCCATCATATTACTCTTTTAAGAAATTCCTTTGTCAATTTTATGAAAATACTCAAAAACAAAAAAAAAACCTCTTTGCCCTTGTTTTCTGAAGCTACTCCGGGCAGTTTTCATGGTAACAATTCCCTACCTCCAGTTAATACACAGGAAAAGATCAAGTTTACTTCCATAACAGTCTTTTCTCCTTCCAGAAGCAGGAAGCCGAAATTGCAAGATAATGCTATCTCTAAACCAAATGCTTGGTGTAAATCCTCCGCAGAGTGCCAGGCTAGGTCAGGGCTCCCGTGTAGGGCTTGAGGCTCCTGCAAACAGCGGCCAGCACGCTGGCCCGTACCTCCCCAGGGATATCGTCAACCTTAATGCCTGGGACAGTGCCTGCCTGTCTCCCTGCAAGCATGTGTGTTAACAGGGTTAGAAGACTGGGTCCCTTTGGAAAGAAAGGACAACACAGTCTACCACCGAGACCCACAACCTTCTGAATTCATCAGCAAAGTGAATAAAGGGGCTATAGAAAGGATCACCTCTGGGCAAGCCATGGGTTGACCCCAATTCTCTTAGGCCTTGTAGGCAGAAAAGTGGTTCTGTGAACAAGTCCAGGAACCATGAAGGAATCAATACTTCACTGGGCAATTTTTGCTCTTCACAAGAAATATCCTAGGATCCTTACAACTCACACTGGAGTCTGAAATCTAAAAACAGACAAGGCCTTCTATTCAGGAGAGTTTGCGGTTTCCCACAAAAGAGAACAAACTAACCCAACTTCCTACATAGCAGGCGAGACTTTTCTCTGAAGTACCACCAATGTAGCTGTGGTCAGCTTTTTCTAAAGTCCTCCCATTCACTCAGGAGGCAGTGGTTTCCAAAGGGAACCCTTCTACTGAAGCACTGACCCTGATCCTCCCTTACTCATTTTGCTTGGGGACCTCCTAAACTACTCAGAACTTCTACAGCCTGTAGTAGCACCCACGACACCTTCACCTTCTCTTTAGGTATTTCCATATTCAGCCTGACCATCGCATCACTCTCTGACAGTGCCCGGATTCCCCAGTCCTTCACTTCAGACACTTCCTGTTTCCCTTTCCAGACACACGTATTTCAAGGACTCTCCACTTATTCAGGTCTCATTTTCTCTTCAACTCTGTTATCTGGCTGCTGCTCTAAACTCTGTACCAACTGTTCTCCCCAAGGTTACTAACCATTTCTTGGTGGCTACATCCAAAGGGCACTTTTCCGTTCTCCATCTATCTACCCTGACGTTTCTGCATCCTTCAAAATCACTGATGACATCCTCCTTGACATTCATCCTTCCTCTGGCTTCACTGATATCACCTTCTATTTTTTGCCCATCCTGCCTCCTCTGGCTATACTGTCTCCTTCATAGAATCCTGTTCCTTCCCCGCCTCTTGTAAATACTGCTTTTTCCAGTTTTCTACTTGCTCTAGAAATTTTCCCTAGGTGAGTCCCTCAATAATAATAGTGACAACATCAGCCAAAATGTACTAAAAGCATGTACTATGTGCTACCTGTCATTCTAAGTCTTTAAATCAAATTGATCTCTCAGTAATTGTGCCTATGATGTAGGAACTGTTAACACTTATTATTCAGAGGAGATAGAGCCATGGTCATATGGTGCACAGGGAACACTGGGGACTAGATTCCCTGAGGATCACTGTAGGGCCTGTGTTCTTCATGCCTCTGCTGCTCCCATGGCTTCAAGTAATGACTATGTAGTTGTGGATCTCATATCGACAACTTCGACCTAGATCTTCCTGACCAAGGTGCAAGTCCATGTGTCTGGCTATCTAATGGGTCTCTTCTTGGGGATGATCTACAATCATCTCAAGGTATACACCTGCAGAACATTAAGTTTACTCTCACAAATTCTAGCAATCTGTAATCAGCTGCCTTCTTCAAACCCAAGCATCCTCTTAAATAGCTCCACCACCTTCCACACACAAACGTAAATAGGTCCCATTCCATCTCTCATTCTCCTTGGATCTAAACCTAACTTATCACTTTACTACACATCTGTGACACTTATCTTTTAAAATGAACTAATGCATTACAATAAAAACAAAGCATTTTAACAGTATTATGTTATGAATGACATCAATATCAAACAATAGGTAAAAATACAGGATCTAGCAAAACCTGACATTTTCTCAGCAGCATACATTAATTTGAAAAACACTGTGTTTTAAAATGGCATGTACTTAGCTAGATTTAAGAACAGCAACATTTTCACTGAAAAGGCTGCTAGGATGACTTCAGTCCCAGAAACCTTGCATGTGTATACTTCAGGGCAGTATAGAGAATGACTTGATGTTTTCTGGTTCACTACCCTGGCTCATTCATTCATACAACTAAAATTTATGATAAAGTCAAATTTTAGCCATTCCCTTATATTTCCTCCTAAGTTTTCAGTAAGTCTGCATCTGACACAGACTCATTTAAGGTATCATGATAATAGTATTACTATTATTTATTAAGTGCATACAATGAGCTACATACTATATACTAAGGCTTTCTATGCATATCAAAAGTGTGAATATAGCCAACACCCACTGAATAATTTCTACGGGTGAAGTGTCTTTTATTTAAATTCTACAACCACCCCATGAGGAATATGTTATTATTACCCTTAAATTCTACATCCACCCCGTGAGGAATATATTACTATTCCCCTCATTTTAGAGATGTAGATCATGAATATCTAAGGTTACACCAAGTAGATGGCATGGTAGGGATATGCAGTTAGAAGGTGTGACTCCAGAGTTGGTGTTCTTTATCACTCATTCAGCCCCATGCCATGATCTCCAGGGTGTGGAAATGAAATTGATTTCAAGGTGGAGGGGACAAGATTAATAATCTCTTAAAAACAATATAAACCTGAGTAACCAATCAGAGGTCTCACTACCTGGCTTTACTCTGACATGATCGTCTCCTGCAATTTAATAACTGTGACTCATAAGCCTTTCTTTGACATTATCTAAATAGAGTGGCAATACCAAACAGTGATGGTCTGCAACAATTATCACAGCTGCCAAAGTTCCAGGGAAGCAGCTGTGGGTATAGAAAATCTAGTCTGCAGGGTTTTAGAGATTATCATCTTCATAGTTTCTCATCTGATAAACAGAGCCTTCTATGACATCCAGCATCCGTTACAGTGAGAGAGTAATATCTTTCGTAGATTTTAAGACTCTTGGGATGACAAACAAGAATTGGTAAGTACAAGTTAAAAAAAAAAAACAGAGAGTCACATTGCTTCATTTATGTATCCGAATTTCTCCATTCTGGATTTTCTATGAGTTCTGTTTTTAAGCTCATTTTTGTCAATATATCTGATTGAGAAAGACACTAAACAAGTCCCAGGTGAGACTGCACCATAGCAACAGGCTTCCCAGGAATTCTTTGGGGAGCAGAATCTCAGAGAAGTATTTGATTGCCTATTCACACTCTTGATTACAACACACCAAGCTGTTAAACTAAATTGTACGCCATTAGTGCATTGAAGGAACTTTAAAAACTAAACTACCCGATATGAAGATATTTTTCATACATACAATCACACTGAGATGTGTTTAATTGTTTGTAACCCATTTCCCTCTTATTTAGAAAATAAAGCAGACATCTTTAAGCTATTTCAAAACTGGCCAATGTCACAGTGTAATAATATGATAAATAAGACACTGCCCTTTATCACTAGCAAATACTGAATCTTGGCTCTGATTCATAAATGTCTTTAATTGTTCACTGTTAATTATGACAGAATATAAATGCACTGTCCTTAGAATTTGATCAGGAGTTTTAAAGTATCTTGAGTTAGATCAGCAGTGGCCAAAATAAGCTATGGAAAAAACCAAGCTCAGTCTCAGAGTAGATTATACTTGGATTTGGCCTATTAGCTCAGCTGGGATGGTATTTTGAGAACAAACAAAAAATAGGCCACAGAAGAAAAAAGCAGTTTATATCTGTGGGTTGTACAACTCAAACTGTTAGCCAGCTTATGAATTATATCATGACCAAAAGTGCGACCAGGTGATGACACAGGTGGCATGGACAAAACCCATGACAATCAGAAAATCAACCAAAGGCAAATCTAGATGAGTGTGAATTACTCTTACCATCCATCTTCACATCCAAATACAACACATTTAACAAACATTTTCTGCACTTGGGTATAAATTGTGTTGGAGGCAGTAAAACATTTCGGAAATATTTAAATGAAAGAACAGAGAAGCATTTATTATGTAAGGTTATTTTTATACAACCAATTCTTAGTTATTGATGCTAACAGAGCTATCCAGTGGTGTGTGTCTACTCCAAATTATTTACATTTGTATCTGTAATGCAGAGTATGATGTTTCTGTAGCAGATCGAATTACATCTTGCTTTATTATTAAAATTAGCTAAAATTTATTTAATATACACATGTATGGGAAAGGTGGTGTCCCTGAAACCTGCTAAGCAGGAGAAGAGCTGGCTCACAATTACAAAGACACCACAGACAGGCTTCACAGACAAAAAATGGACTGAACAACTCAAACCTTAATTACTTTACAAGCACTTATAATTTACATAAGATTGGCACAGGTCACTTGGTATAGATCATTTTTGCTGATGTTGCATTTCACCTTCTTAGGAGCCTGGGAAGCTTCCTGAACTACCTAGAGAACAATTAGAAAATATCATTTCACTAAAGAAAACATGTACTAACATTTAAACACAGCTTTTAAGAAGAAATATTCTTTGGAAGTTATTCACACAATTAAAATACTCAGGATTATTTAGTTTAAACAATAGCAAAAAATCACAACACAATATATGCACCGTGCAAGTATTATGTAGTGGACCCCTATTGTTCTTGCTACTTAACATCTTTGTACCTTTCTTCCAGGTGTGGCATTTTGATTTTTCTCTAAAGAAATCTACCTTCCCTATTCTTGGGCCATAAGAGTTTGGTATATTAAAAGTAGGGTTGCTTGAGATATAGAGAAAGTGGCAAGACCAATGGATAGCAATTTCTGATGAAGAATTATTTCTGGCAGGGCATGGTGGCTCACACCTGTAAATCTCAGCACTTTGGGAGGCTGAGGCAGGCGGATCACGAGTTTAGGAGATTGAGACCATCCTGGCTAACACGCTGAAACCTCGTCTCTTCTAAAAGTACAAAAAATTAGCCAGGCGTGGTGGTGGGCTCCTGTAGTCCCAGCTACTCACGAGGCGGGAGAATGGCGTGAACCCAGGAGGCGGAGCTTGCAGTGAGCCGAGATTGCGCCACTGCACTCCAGCCTGGGCAAAAGAGCTAGACTCTGCCTCAAAAAAAAAAAAAAAAAAAAAATTCTGAATGAATACTAAGAAAGTGAACTGAAGGACAGGAGTTTGTGGCCTAAGAATATAATGTCTAAAGGAAATGCAAGATGAGAAAGCCAAGGGGCTGCCCCACCAGAGACTGGATGGGCTGTTTGGGTAGATACTGAAGTCACCTACGGACCCATAGCAGAAGTGAACTGGAGAAGGCGGCCAAGAGCTGAACCTTCAGTGAATGATAGTGAGTGCCAGAAGGGTAGTGAATGTCAGGAGAGAGGAGGAAGCATGGTAAAGCCAGGCATAGAAGTCTCAAAGGAGCCAGGAACGTGTAAAGGCAGGCAACAACTGGGGAGCAAGGAGAATGCTGACCCCACCTACTTAGCTTGAGAACCCAAAGGGTAGGAGAATAACCAGATTTTAAAGAAACAAATTCATGTCTGTCCCATGTGCCAAATATATGCAACCCACTCCAACATCTCCAAAAGTCTCAAACCATTACAGCATCAACTAGAAGGGTCGAATCTCACATAAATTTCATTGCTCAAAAATCCCAAATCTCATCATCTAAACATCTAAATCAGGTACAGGGGAGACTTTGGTATAATACATCCCGGAGCAAAATTCTTCTCCAACTACTGATTCTGTGAAACTAAAAGATAAGTTATCTGCTTCCAAAATACAGTGGTGGGATAGACATAGGATAACAGTTATGACACTCCCATTCCAAAGGGAAAACAAAAATGGAAAGAATAAAGGAGTCACCTTTCCTAAGTAATTTCAAAACCCAGCGGGGCAAGGTTTAAAGTCTGAGAATATGACTTTAGGCCAAAGCTGTATCCTTGAAGTCATTTTTCCTTTACCTTAAGGGTAGCACATATTTGCAACTGAGCACTGTTTTGATAAGCCTGTATAGTTTGATAAGTCTAACAGCCTTCTTATATTTCAGTCTGTCTCTGTCCTTTTCAGTTCAAGCTGGCAGTATTTTTGCTGATAAAACACTTTCAAAAAACCTGTGGGTTTCCTGTGTATTTTTGCCATTAAACAAGTGGGTCCTCCACTCATCTTCCCTGGATAATTTCATCTCCACTCCTGATTTCTGTTGAGTCACATGCTTGATATCTTCAGCACTAGTCAAAGGTTATCTAGTTACATCCTTGACCTTCTCTCTGGAGTACTTTCCTAAAAGTGAATCTCCTAATTTACCATCTTTTGCAACCTGGACAGGCTGAGAATTTTCCAAATTATCAAACTGTGATTCATTCTTGCTTGAGAGGTTTCCCCTTGATTTGTTTTTCCTCTCACATTTTGTTATTAGAAGCAAGAAGAAACCAGACTGTAACTTCTGCGCTCTGCTTGGAAATCTCTTTACCTAAATATCCAAGTCCATCATTTACATGCTTTCTACAGGACTGGGAGAGACAATTCAGCTAAGTTTTCTACCAGTATTGGCCTATCTTGTTTCACTGCACTTCACTTCATTACTCTCTGCGGCTATTGCATCTTTTACAAATTGAAGGTCTGCGGCAACCCTGAGTTGAGCAAGTCTATTGGCACATTTTTTTTCCAACAATATGTGATCATTTCACTAGCATTTTTAGCAATACAGTTTTAAATTAAGGCATGTACATTGATTTTTAGACATAAGGCTATTGCATACTTAACAGACTACAGTATAGTGTAAACATAACTTTTATATGCACTGGGAAACCAAAAAAAATTATGTGGCTCACTTTATTGGAATATCAGCTTTAGTGCAGTGGTCTAGTACTGAACTAGTAGCTCCAAGGTTGCCTGTAAATATTAAGAATCACCTTTCTTTCCTCTAGTTTCCAATTACATGTTCCTCATTTCCTTCTGAGCTCTCATCAGAACCACCTTTAATACCCACATTTCTACCAATATTTTGTTTAAAGCAATCTAGGCTTTCCCTATCATGGGGCTAAAAATTCTTCCAGACTCTACCCGTTATCCAATTCCACAGCAATTCCACATTTTTAGGTATTTGTTACAAGGGTACTCCCCTTCCTGATGCTAAAATCTGTAGTAGCATCCTACGGCTGCTGTAACAAATCACCACAAACCTGGTGGAATAGAACAACAAAAATTTATTCTCATAGCTCTAGAAACTGGAAATCAGAAATCAGTTTCACTGGGCTGAAATCAAGGTGTAAGCTGGGATGTACTCATTCTAGAGGCTGTAGGGAAAAACCTCTTCTTTGCCCCTTACAGGCTCTGGGGACAGCTGGCATTCCCTGGCTTGCAGCCACATCTCTCCAATCCCTGCCTCCACCTTCACAGAGCCTTCTCGTGTGTGTGTGTCCCTCTGCCTCTCAGAGACAGATACTTGTGATGGCATTTAAAACTCACCTGGATAATCCAGGATAATTTCACCATCTCATGATTTTTTAACTTATTTACACCCATAAAGTTTTGAAATAAGCTAACATTTACAGGCTCCAAGCGTTGGGATAATAAATCTCTGGGGAGGAGAACATTATTCTGCCTCCCACGATCACAGTTTAGACAGACAGTATATTAATTTATAATAAGACTATCCTATCTATAAAAAAGTTATAGTTCTTTCAAAATTACTACTTAATATCACAAAAGCTGTAAAATTACTTTTCTGAAGCTAATATGTAAATGTGAGATACTTATTTTGATTTTTTCATTTACAAATAAGTATAATTAACTTTTAAACAAAATTTTAAAAATGAGGTTGATGGTACAGCTAAGTAGAGTAAGTACCGGTAAATTAGCAAATATAAATAGTTGCAAAGATTTAAAAAATACTTCTGCATAAAGTAAAAATATTTTAGAAACAGATATGCCTTTATTTTAGGAAATTACTCTTTAGGAAAATACTATTTTCCCTTAGGAGTTAGAGTAAATAAATGGCTGTTATCTCTCTCTTAAATCTTGGTTATGTTTCAGTCTTTAGGGTTAGGAAAGGCAAGGGTGACTGAATACCAGAGGGAGAATACTGACGGAGATGGTTTTAGTAGAGCAACAGGCAGCTAAGTTCCTGTCAATATGATTAATTACCTTGGGAATGGCTTCACAGTCTAGCAATTGGCTCCCCCACTTGCACTGTCCACTACAGGGAAAAGGGAAGATTCAGAGAGGCAATGGTAATGCTAATTAATGTTTTATCTCTAACAACCTAGAAGCAAACAGTTTGGGGTTTTCTGTCTAGAGCTTTAATGGCCAAGTAAATAAATGGTGTGCCTGTTTAATAGCTCTAATTAATTTTATAAAGCTGACCCAAAGACCACAGGCCTGACAAGATTCTTATTACTTTTTTCCATGTAAGCCTAAAAGCAAATCAGAGTTACATTATAGAATAATAATTAATACTTAATAGTGAAAATAATGACAACTGTATTTGTAAAATCTTATTCTAAAAAATGGTGATTCATGCATTGTAATTTGAATATGTGGTCAAATTTTTTATATTAAAAAACATAAATAACACAGCAAGGCAATGTAGTCTCCTTTCTCTGTTATGTGCATCTTTAAAAGGCCAGGTTGCCTAAGTTGTAAATTCCCAGAAGGGCACCACATTTGTTTCCTAGACCTTTATAAGCTTTCTCTCAAAGTGTTCATTTTGTAATTCTAAACTAACAACAAATATTACTTCGTAAATGTACCTAAATCAATGAATGTCCAATCCTGCAAAAATTTAAAATCCACAGTTTAAGAACCTGAGTGATAAAAAATTTCAAACACTGTTTCTCATTGGGACACGGAGTTGCAGGAATTCTCCACTAAGTCTGAGAAGTAGACAGGCCCCACCAGTCTACCAGAACAGACAGGGTCTTACATTAACATGATCCCAAGTTGCCACCTTTGCTGAGAGTGCAGCCAAACAGCAGGACTAGAAATCACACCCCATCAGGGAGTCAGCCCTGGCGGCAAAGTGCTTGTTGGGTCACACTGTGTTTGTCCAAGGACTCACAACCACTGTTTGAAAACTGCTTTAAAGAACATTTTCTGGGGTGATGAAAATGTTATATATATTGATTATGGTTACATGACTACATTCATTTGTCAAAACTCATTAAATTTTATTTTACATAAATTATACCTCAGTAAGCTTGCCTTTAAAAACATTAACATACATGTTCATATTTTCTTTTTATTAAGTTATCACTTTGTAAGCTATAAATGACATTCTTACAACTCTGGCAAAATACTGCTATAGATTCATTCATGAATCCACTTTGATACACATTACAAACAGACTTCTGTGTTTGAAGCAACATTTTTCCACATTAATAGATGGGTTAACTTCTTCTTGGCAGAAAGATAAAGTTTTATTCTGAGAGATCTATAAATGCAACCTTGTTCAGAGAGC